CAACTATCATGTCTATGCCTGAAATCGAACGTGAACAGGTCTTGGCTGATCGTGCACAAGAAATTGAGAGGGATCGACAAAACAGAGTACTTCGTCAACTTTTGAATGGTCGTGATGCCGCGGACAAGAAGGCAGAGAAAAAGCGCAAGGCGGGTACTGCAGATTTGGACGACAATCAGCGCAAGACATCTCGCCAACGTACTAAACTGGGTGGTGGAAAAGTTGGAGAAGCTAGTACTGGAATCGACAGTCTGAAGCGCGCAAGAGCCGAGAAGAATGATCGCCAACGTCGTCGTGAAGAAGACAAGGAGCGCCGTGGAGGTGATAGTCGCAGAGATAATCGCGATGATTATTCAGACGATGGATCTGATGAAGATAGTGAGGTTGAGTGGACAGTATCAAAATCGAAGAAGAGATCTGCATCTCCAGATTACCGTGATGCAGAGCCGGCAGTTTTATACGATCTTGAACGAGTTCGAGTTGGTAGAAGTAGATTTGCCATGGTCTGCTTCTATCCTGGCTTCGATGATGCTATCACTGGGTGCTTTGTTCGGGTGAATATTGGTGTTGATAAGGAGACAAATCAGAATCTTTACCGCATGGGTCTCGTCAAAGGTTAATGCATTGGAATTATTCTTGGATTAACCCAAGCTAACTTGATTTTAGGCTTCAAAGAAGATAGACCATATGCTATGATGTCTGCTAATGGGAAGCAATTCTCAACAACACAATATGTCATCGCTGCACACGGCAAATCTGAAAGATCATGGCCATTCATTGCTTGTTCAGATTCTCGATTTACAGAGGCAGAATGGCAAAGATATAAGCAAAATTGTATCGCAGATGGCATACCTGTTCCAACAAAGCCAAAGTTGATGCAAAAGTGTGCAGAAATCAATGCTCTCGTTAACCGACCTTGGACTGAAGAGGAGTTGCAAACAAAGTTAAAGAAGTCGAGTGTTTTGACCGAAAAATGGAACACAGCAGAACGTGCGCGTCTTAACAACGCTATCAAGGAGCAGAAGAGCCTTGGAAATACAGAACTTGAAGAAAAATATCGCTCAGAACTTGAGGCACTTGAAAGTGCCAAATTAGCTTATGGCACTACACTTAAGCCCACGCCAAAGAAGAAGACCGTTCACTCCCAACAAGATCGACTTGCCGAACTCAACCGAACCAACCGTCGTAAGAATATTGAAGAAGTACGCCAAGCACAAATTAACGAACGTCGTGCAGCTCGACTAGCTGAAGCAGCAATTGCTCGTGGAGAAATTGTCGATGAAGATCACTCACGTCGTGTCAAGACTAGAGCTACTTTTAAACATGATCATACTGGTGGAAAAGACAGTGCGACAGCTACTCCAGTCAGTGGAACTTCGACCAACAATACTCCCAAATTGGCGGCTAAGAAGGATGCATTACCGGTACCAAATTTTAGTAGGCTGCAAACGACTTCGAAGGGAGGAGTTCCAGGGTTCAGGAGACCCCTTATGGATGATGATATTATTGCTAGTATTGATATTGGGATTAGTGATGATTTGGAGTTGTAGGGGAATCGTTGTTCAGTAAATGGGATGGAGCAGGGTGGGAGGTGATGAGCCATGCACAGGCACTCTTCATCAAAGAGTTGCTGCTAGTAGGAATATAATTGTATTTACATATTGGGGAAAGATCAGGATCTCGAAAGGGAAATATGTTATGGTATGAATGGGTGCAGGCGGGTTACTACGGAAGGGATATGCAGAGATTAAAAGCTTGAGGGTTATTATCTGTGGGATTTTCTTCAACAGCAAGCGTGGGCTGCCTCCTCGATTGGTTATTTTCGATTTTAACGGGATGCAGTTGATGATGAATGAATGTCGGTTGGAGGCGGGGAGAAGAACTTGAAGTAGAAGAGGTACAGCGGGTGGAGAAATGCACGGATTGATGGGAATTGGTAGCGAAAGTGAATGAAGGGGCATTCCGCTCGTCGGGAATAGCGACGATTAGACTAAGAATGATGAAGGGGACGAAAATTAGAAAACAACCGGAGATATACAACAGACTAGTGCTTCTAGATCTGATCAGCATAACGCGTAGGCCTAGCGAGTAGACGTAGCGAGTAGATGAATTCAAGGGGTAATGAAATGATAAATGCTTTTCTGAACTCAAGTAAACATGTAGATGTAGATGTGAGAATTATCAATTGATGTGCATGACAATAAACACGTTTCGGCGGGTTTACATGTTAACAAATATACTACTCCTGTATCTGGAATGAAACAAGAAATAAGAGTTAAAATGTTTAGAACTTCGAAAGTTCTATGCTTACTTAGAATTCCGGATCTCGCTCCTCCTTCCCTCCTCCTCCTTACCTCGCTTTCTGACCAACCAAAAATCATGATTACAAAGGAACAAGATAAAAGTTCACCGGGAGTTGAGGTTCACTGGTCTCATGTCATGTCAAGTGTGTTGTATTGCACCATGTCGAGTGTGGTGTCGTGTTGTGTGCAAATGAACATTACATATACATACCTTCCTAATCCGTCCCGGCGAGAAGGTTTCGAAGCTTGAGAATTTTGGGGGGCTTGGTGGTTGGGATAATGAATGAATGAATGATATTTAGGTAGAATGGTAAGGAAGGTTATGGAATATGTAAATGGAAGTTTATTGAGGTGTTGTTGGAGACTTGGAGCTTGTATTTTGTGTTGTTAGATGGGGTTGGGGAGGGGGATGAGTATTGAGTTTTGAGTTTTGAGTATTGAGGGAATAGATGTGAGAATTGGAAATTAGGAATTAGGAATTAGGAGTCGGGATAATGAAATGTATGGTGTGTAATATTCGTATGGTGTGTAATATTCGTACGATGTACGATGTAGGTACTCGGTGACTGACTCAACGGTAAGACTCTCAGACCGACAGATAGATAGACCATCGCACAGTTCGTTCGGTTAGCTACAGGTATTGGGTAGATATGTATGTATGTATGTAAATGTGTGAGCAAGTAAACATAACATGTAAGTAAACATGTACGAAGTACACACAACTCCGGAAGCCGAACCCGCCTCCCGAGCCGTTGCAATATAAGATTACATGATTGCAAACAGTGTGCAGATAGATGTCCACCTGCATGAATCAAACCTAGTATATCAATGAAACAGAGTTTAACTTTGATGGGCTTGATGAGAAGCGGGACTAGGCAGATGATCATGAGTGATATACTGTATATGGTGAAGGGGAGTGGTGAATGAATGAATGGATGAATGAATGAATGCTTCACCGATAGTTGGGGATGTGCACACACGGATACGCATATGAATGCTAGGATACATGGGGCTGGATATTTTTGGATTGCATCGGGTGTTCCTGCATGTGAGTGCGTGGGACGGCGTGGGACCCCGGTGAGTGGATAGGGTGCGTGTGTGGTGTGGTGGGTGTGGATGGGTATGAGATCATGCATATAATGCAGAATGCTGTGGTGGGTTATCGTATTTCCAGATAGACGGATGGATGGATGGATGGATGGAAAGGAACTTGGAAGGTTCGGTTAGGTGCGGAGGAGGTACGTAGATGGGATAGGTAGGTAGGTAGATGTTTGTTTTGGGGATGGGGTGAGATGGGATGGGATGGGGTTGTGGTTTTGATAGACAGACCGATAGACAGATTGGATGGGACTGGTTTTATATATTCTTATTCCTGCTCTTCTGTTTGCTTGTTTTGGATATATTTGTTTTTACTTTGCTCTACTTTGCCTTGCTTTGCTCCTACTCTATCTGCTTTATTCGTACAGTGCTAGTACGGAGTGGTAAATGTTATATGTGTTATATCTTCATCTACTACCTATCTGGTTATTGATCGATTATCACACTTCGCACTTCTTTTCATACATACTCTATCCCCAACATCCTCCCAACGCATTTTACAATCACCTACCTAATATACAATGGCCATCACACACCCTCATCCTACAAATATAGCAAATTCTCACTCACTCCCTTCTTCAAAACCCAACCACAATGATAAGACCAACAACCAAATCACGCTTCTCCCCGTCACGAAAGCCGATCTCCCGCGCATCGCCCTCCTCGAACATCTCGCCTTCGAAGAAGATGAATTCAGCGACTTGGCATTTGGGAGAGAGAGGGGAAGTTCCGAAGCCCTGAAGATGCGCGAGAGACAATTTGAGAAGTTTCTCGATAGAGCGGAGAGAGGGGGAGAGGAAGAGGGGGGATGGTATTGTAAGGCTGTTTTGGGACGGGAGAGTGCGGGGATGGAGGAGATTGTGGGGATTGCGGGGTGGAGTTTGGGGGGTGGGGAGGAGATGGGGAAAGGGAAGGAAGGGGGGAATGGAGAGAAGAAGGGTGATGTGGATTCCTCGAATGGATTGGAAGAGGAGGAGAAGATGAGGATCAAGACGAAAGAGGAGCTGGAGGAGATCTGGGGGAAGGGGAGTAATGTTCAATTGTGTGAGGATGTTTTTGTGAGGGGAGATGAGTATATGTTAAGGGCTTGTGGGGGAGAAAAGTGGTTGAGTATGTTTTGATCTTTTCTTTCTTCGTTTATATCCTCTTATTTCATTTCTACTTTCTCATCATCTCCTTAGCTCACTAAACCCTCAACTTCTCTTTCCTCCCTTTCCCCCCTTTTCCTTCTCCTTCAACCCTCACCCCTAAAATCTACTAAACTCTCCCCTAGAACTCAACATCCTCGTCGTCCACCCCTCTCACCAACGCCGTGGAATCGGTACGCTCCTCCTCGAACAAGGACTCAAACTCGCGGATGAGAAATCCCTCCAAGTAGTACTGGGTGCTAGTCCCTGGGGCATTGGTCTCTATCGCAAATATGGGTTTGTGGATGTGCATTGTATGGATATCCAGTTGGATAGGTATGAAGGGGGTAAGGGAATGGGAAGCACGAGACATGTTATTATGAGACGGCCACCGAGAGGCGAGAAATAGAGAATTGAGGGGAATGGGGGTCGGGGGCTTTTTGATCGTAGATTTAATAGATTTGGGGTTTGGGTTCTTTTGTTTTGTTGCTAGATTTCTGCTATTTTATATGCGACTATTTGGATAGCTAGGCGAGACGTCTCCAAATAGTAGGCGAATAATTAATACAATGACATTTATGTTTGATTATACACTTTCTTCGGCCAGGAAATCATGTCATGTCATCTCATATCGTATCACCTCATCATCCAAACACCTTCCACTCCACCCCAACACCCCATTTGACCCCATCGACCACAATCTCCCAAACCGGGCTCTTAATACCCACTATCCTCCCAACATCCACATCCATTCCCCTCTGCAAACCCATCCCCGTTCCCTCACCAGCCAACATAACCCTAACTTCCCCCAAACTATACACAACCTCCTCTCCATCCACATCTCGCACCTGTCTACCTCTTACTAAACACATTCCCCTTCCATCCCTCCTTACCTCTTCAATCTTTATCCTCGTCACCCATTCTCCATTTCTCTCTTTCCCTTTCTGTACACTGCCAATCCCAGAATCAATATTAATCAACCAATCCCTTACTTCCGCCGCCAACCCCCCAGCTAAATATTGTCTCCCTTTTCGATGCGGAGAAAACTGTTCAGGCAAAGGATCTCCACTTCCCTGCGACTCCGCAGGATCAGGCGGACGAAACCGAGGCGGTTTGAGAAAAGTTGTCGGGGCAATGCATTGAGGTGTAGATGGTACAGGAGTTGAGAGAAGAAACTTAGGTTTGCCGCCTGTGGATGAGAATTGAGTAGGTCGATGAGAAATCGGCGAAGAAATTACAGGTAGAGAAGAAGATAATAAATCTTCATTTTCTTCCAGGGTGATATCTGGGGAAACAGAAATTCGTCGCCGTTTGGATGATCGGGGGTTTATTTCATAGTCTTTTGTGTCTTCGTTTTCGTCTGCATCTTCGTCTTCGGTAGAGTACCCAATATTGGTATCAAAATCATCGTTTGTATCTATAGAATCGTGAAGAGAAAGATGCGCGGGGTAATCATCTGAAGGGTCATCGATATTCTCTTTTGCTTTTGTACTTTGTCGAGCGGGGGTTAAGTATCGTCCCGCGGGTGTGGATGATGGTATTTTTGTATTTTGCGTAGCATTGGGTTTTGGAGTGGAGGAAAATGTAAAACGAGGAGTGGTATTGAATTGTTGCGTGTTTGATGGGCGGGGAGTTGATTCTTGTGCGAGTTGCGATCGTGGAGGTGGATGGGGAGCTGAAGGGCCGGATTGTCTTTTGATCACAAATCGATGGGGGGATGGTGTCTGCTCAGTATGTTAGGGTTATGTGTCCAAGTATGAGGATATATTAATCGAACATACAACTGGGGGAGGCATCTTTCTTCTTCTTCATGCATACATTGTACCTATGTATCCTTCTTCGTGGCTGGCTTCAAAGGCGGTGGAGATGTGACGTTGACAAGGCAGAATGTATCTGCATCAAGCTGGAGATCAACTTATTGTTCGAATGGGATTGATGAATTCCCCATGGATGATGTGTGTCAATCATTTGATATCTTCTCCCATTTCAACAACCATCCATATGTCGATTGATGAATCCCATACTACTTCCAATCGTATACTTCGTACACACTCATCATTTTGAAGATGGAAGTGTTTGATTATAAAATAAATAAATTGTTCTCACGATCGATAACCTACTTAACCTACCTACCTAGGTAGTATACGATACAAATGCGGAACATTTCCCGCCGCAAAATATTGATGTCATCATACATACATCATTGCAACCCGTGATTCTAGCCCAGAGAGGTAGGTAGCTATTGAATTGAAGCTTAAGGAAATCTTTTCCCTCTGTTTTTTTGTCTTTTCGTTTTCGTTTTCTTTCTTCATGGAGAGGTAGAATTACTATCTCCATTCTCTCAATCTCTCAATCTCTCATTCAATCTTCTCGTTTCAAGAAGCTAGATTCAAAGTGCTTCTTGCGCTGTCTATCTTCTCTCAGTCTTGAGATCTCAATTATCTATACATTGCCGTCTACCTCATCTCACTCACAATCTTCAAAATGCCGAATCCTCCTTCAAAACTAGGAGGTAGTTCTTCCATCTTTCCCCTCCTAAGCAAGAAACATGAGATCGTCATGTTTTCTAGTACAGCAATTGCTCTCTATGGTTATGATCAAGGTATGTATCATTCCTCCTGAAGTGCAACTTAGGCCCCTCTCGCCATCATATCTAACACAAATCAGGAATGATGTCCCTGATAAACACCAACAGCAGCTATCTAAAAACCATGCAAATTGGCGAAGAATCTCCTGTAGTAGGTATAATCGTCTCAGTTTATTACCTAGGATGTGCAATTGGAGCTGTTCTCGCCTCCTGGCTCGCCGATAAAGAAGGAAGAAAACCATCTATATTTGCTTGTTTGGCAACAACATCGTTTGGGAACTTACTCATGTTTATTTCCGGCTTTTCATTGCATGGATCTTCACCTTGGAAAGGTGCATCATTGGGATGTATGATCGCTGGGAGAGTTATTATGGGATTAGGGGTCGGAGGGATAGATTCGACAATTCCGGTTTATAGTAGTGAACTTTCATCGGATGGAGCGAGAGGTAGAGCATTAGCTCAAGAATTCCAGATGAATATCTTTGGTTTGTTGATGGCGTATTCGATCAACTTGGGAGTTACTATCGGTTTGGGGAAAGATAGTCAATGGGCTTGGAGAACTCCGATTATTGTTATGCAGATTTTCCCAATTCTGTTGATGTCGTTCATTTCTCAACTCCCGGAAACTCCAAGGGTATGTTGAGAATCTCTTGAACTCTAAACATCTCACAGAAAATGCTAATTGTTTATAGTGGTTCATGAGTGTAAACCGAGAAGATGATGCTAAGAAAGCTCTTGAGAAAGTTTACGGCAAAGAAGCAGCCAAGTCGAAATTCGAAACTCTCAAAGAATCTACTGCTCAAGAGGATGGTTCGAAAGTACAATATAAAGATATGTTTACTCCAGGACATGCCCAGTTTCATCCAACCATGATAACGATAATGGGTCAAATAAATCAAGCTCTCACTGGCTACGGCGCCGTGTCCGGTAAGCATTCTCCATACCCAATTCTGTCACAAAGCTCAAATTCCTCCTCATTACGCACCTATTAACTCAAACTCTAGTCTACGGCCCTCAAATCTTTGCTCTCCTCGGTTTTACCACCCGCAAATCCGAATATCTCACCCTCGGGAACTACATATTCTATTTCCTCATGATGACACTTGCCTGGCTCTCCATCGACGTCTATGGTCGTCGCACTCTCATGATTTACGGCAGCATCGGCCTCTCCCTCTCTTTCCTCCTACTAACTCTCTTCGGAGCTCTCGCCACCTTCCCAAGTATCCCCTTCCTCGTGCCCGAAATCCTCGGCTCCGGAACTCTCTTCGCCGCAACAGCCATCTTCGGAATCGGCTGGCTCGCAACCGTCTGGTTGATCCCGACCGAAATCTATCCTTCCTCAGCTCGTGCCCAGGGATCCGCCATCTCGGTTATTGTCTGGGGACTGGCGAATTTTGCGGTAACATTGTTGACGCCGATTGGATTTAATAATTTGAAATATTGGCTGTTTCTAGTGTTTGCCGGAACGAATATGTTTGCCGGGTGGTGGACGTGGAGGTATTCGTTGGAGAGTGGAGGGAGGAGTTTCGAGGAGAATATGGAGTTTTTTGAGTGTGCGGAGAGGGACGAGAGTTGGGTTGTGGGGAAGGTGGATGGAGGGAAGTTTAGGAGAATGCCGGGGGTTGAGAAGGGGAAGGGGAAGGGGAGTGAGGAGGGAGGGGAGAGGGAACCTTTATTGAGAAGAGAGTAGGTAGGTGGGAATTAGATGTATGTAGATTGACATTGAGATGTAGATGTAGAAGTAGATAGTGATATTGTGTAGAATGGTATATTAAAATTTCGACACTTGCGAATTTACCACACGGGACAAATTACAAAGAAACATATAAATTATATAAGTAATGAAATTGATTAAAGAATGTAAAGTTAAACATCTTTTCCTAGGTAGCCTATCTAAATCCACCTTCCTATATCTCCATCTAGCAGTGATAATATTCTATATTAATCCAAACACCTCGTTCCACTATTCCCGTATATAAAAGCTTCAAAGTATAAAGCAACGCCATTCCCATATTAACCTAGACATATATATATACCGATGATCCATCCAACCAGATATTTCCTCCTCTCTAAATACATTCCTCTCGCCACCCCCACATTAATCAGACCATCCATTTCCCCAACACCCATTCCCATCCCCCACTCACCACGTAAACATCATCAACGCGGGATTCAACGCAATGGGCATCAGAAAATGACTCACGACCACTGTGCAAAGGGGGAAAATGGCGACAAACGTATCGATTCGCCAATTCCAGGGCACGACGAGCGCGCACACAATCATGCCGGCGGACATGAGAATGCAGAAGAGGAAGGTGTATTTGAAGCGCTTGAGCAGACGCGGGATTTCTTCAAAGAAGGTGACGTTTTCGACTTCTTTGGCCGTGGCGCCCCAGGTCATGTCGATTTCGAAGAAATGGCAGAGCAGGGATTGGGAGACGTGCATGGAGAGGCCGCCGAGGAAGACGGTCATGAGGAGGAGCCATTTGAGGTTTTCGAAGACTATGGTGGGAGGGGAGGTTAGTGGGTTGTTTGAGGGGGGAGCAAGGAGGGGAGAGGGAGAAAACTTACAAGAAGAGAAGAATCCTCGTTCGTTCAATCGGTATCGGAGAACGGCCAGCGAAACATTACCCAAGAGGGAAAAGACAATGATGAGCGAGAAGTACACCTGGAAGGAATCGAGATAGTATTTATCGTACATGCCCACATACCAACCCATGATGAAATAATTTGCGAGGGTCAGGATCCACGAGGCGCCAATAGCGTAGTAGGTACCAATGTAAGCCATCATCGTAATCTTCGATGTAAATCTCATATTGGATCTCAAAAATTCTCTGAACAATTTCGTGAACGGACCACGCGTGATCCAGAAGCGGAGAGGATTGAAGAGAAGTTCATTGCATCCATAAGCGTATTTTTCCCAACGGGCAAGCTCGTCGTACACGGTGAGGGAGACACCTTCTTTGAAGCCATCGCCGGTATAGGCGGCATAGCGGATAATGTATTCGTTAACTTGGAGACGGAGCGACATGTCGAAATCTTCTGAGACGTGAGATTCGGACCAGAATTTCTCGTAGCCGTCTTCGTCGTGGTAGGAGACTTGTTGAACGGCGGACCATCTGAGCATGGCGTTGTGGCCGACGAAGGGAGATACGTCACCCATGGCGACGGCAAAACGAATAGCGGTGTAAACGAGGTTGGTGAAGAAGGTAATACTAGTTGAAGATTATTAGTTTTTTTTGAGTGAGTAAGATAGAGACAACGATGACATACCCATTTTCGAAGAAACTATCAGTGACTTGCATAACACCAGAGTTGAATTGCAAGATACCGACTTCAGGAGATTGTTCCATCTCACTCGCCGCATCCAAGAGACAATCGGCGGGAACACGAGTATCGGAATCAATGAGCAAGATATAATCACCCACACGAATATTACCACCAGCCCACGCACGACCTTCCTCCTCTTCTAGAACACGAGCCAAGCATTGATCATAAGCAACGTATTCCTCAGCCTGAGACCAACCCTCATGACGCGCAATGGTGAGAAGTCTCTCTTCAACCTTGTTGGAAACCATAAGAGCGTAGTTCATGTTGGAAGCCTTCTTGAATTTACCACGACGAAGGAAAGCCTTTTCTCCATTTTCAGGGTTGGGCTTGTGGCCAGGACGCGCGACCCATCCAATAGTATGTTCATCATAAAAGTCACGACGAGCTTGAGCTTCGTCTTCGGGAAGCAATTGCATACCATCATCATTGATGAAGATATTGGCAGTGCCACCTTGAAGTTCATAGGTAGAGATAGCAGCCTTGAGAGAGATGATCGTAGGTTGAATAACACCAACGAGACCTTCCTTGTAGACAGGCATTTGAATAGTGACGTGAGGAAGCTCTCGATTATTTCGGTTGAGACGTCGAGGAGCTTTGCCGGAGTAGAATTTCGAGTTACTGTTCAAGTTGTTGATTGGTCCAAAACACTGGGTCAGATTGACGATAATCACTTGCATGAAGAAAAGGGAAACGAAAATTTGACAAGGAACGACGGCGAGTAAAGCCAATCGAGTGTAACTTCCATCAACAGCGACTTCAAGACCAAGCTTTCTCCAACCGAGACCGAGAGCGGTGACTAGGAGACACAAAGTCGCACCGACCATGAGAGGATTGAGTAGTAGTGTTGGTCTTTTTTCTTGCGCTCCATAACCATCTTCGACATCAGATCCGCTTCCCAACTCAGCGGTGGAAACATTTGCTCCACCCTTCTTCTCGTCAGTTTCTTCGTCATCATCGGCCCAGATCATCTCCAGCAAAGATCTTTCAATGTACTCTGCTCTCTGCAATAAGTGTTTTGGGTCATCATCCCAGACAATGAGAATTTGTTGGTCTTGGATAAAAGCACCGAAGTGATGCTTTTGGCATCGAGGTAAATACTCGACAGTAGGAAGAACTTGAAGACGGAGACCATCCGAAAGAGGGACATAATCAGCATGTTGACGGGCGAGGAAGATTTTGATCACGCGAGTATTGACAGTCATGGCAGCCTAAATATCGAGTTAGCAAATGCTGTTGAAGAAAAGAAACACCGTTCACTTACTCTAACATTCATGGCTACAATGTAGTCAAAGATACCTGATGGTTCCGACCTTAAAGAGGGCGGACAGCATGTGAAATCACCCTTTGCCTTCTTCAAGATAACACCCTCTCCCGGAGCACCAACGGCCCATAGTTTTTCCATTTGTTGTTGATGTAACCAGCTGACAACTACATCAGATCTGACAGTCAAAACACTCTCCCTAGGGCCATTCCTGAAATCACCTTCCGGATAAAGAGAGGATGGCCTCGAACGATCGGCAAATGATCCTGCCATTGGTGAACCTAGAGGAGGGGTTGTATGCATTTCCAACTGCATTGGTGCGGATGTTCCAGTCTTCTTTGCTTTCTTCGCATCTTGCTCGGCCTTCTTCCCAGGGGCGAGATACCCCTTGAGGGCGTTCATCTTGGACGATAAAGAGTAAAATTCAGTCGAATGTGAGAATGATGTAAGTATGATTTAGGATTAATAATAAGTTAATAATTAATAAAGTTGAAGAATATGTGCAACGAGTGTTGGAATTAAGAAAGATTGGAACAGTCAGCCAAAAGAAAGATAGCTTTATTGTAGGTGAATAACAAAAGTTCAAGATGAAAGTATTACTGACGATCGGGGTGAAGGGCAATATGTACTAAGGAGATGCTGTGAAGAAAAAGCTATATTCATTAGCGTCACTGAGCACTGCGAAAACTTCACTAGTGAAGCTAACAATAGATAGGCACTGGACAAATGACATCCATTCATGGCACCTCCATTGGTTCGGAACAAAGAGGAGCTGAGAAAAGTCCTAACCAAGTTACCAAATCTGGAGCTTCAGCAACTGCAAATTGCCAAAATCTGTAGCTCGAACAGGCCTGAGCGAGTAACAAACAAGATCATACATTCAGCTTGCTACTGCCATACTTGATTGGATCAATTTACCGTACGATTGCAAGCTTGGATAAGCCATGCGGGCAGTGCGGGCAGAAAATTGAATAGGAACCCCTCTTTCATGATGCTACAAAGAGTATCAAACGCCGAGTCCAAAACTAAAGAAATGTTGTTCAGAGCTACCCGGGTGTTACTGTCCCAAGCTTGGTTAGGATTCAGACGAAACTATTTTTGATGCTGTGCGTTCCCGACACAGCTTTGACAATTAGAACATGAGGTAGATAGAAGCGAGTAGGTTCGGTCTATTGGAAATGATGAAGCGATTGACACTAGACTGGGATGTCAGTTTGTAATTAGGCGAAAAGACTATGCCCCTGCGAGTAAATTTTTGAGCTAGACGCACTGTGGAGTCTGGACTTGGTGTCTTTTTGGAAGATCTACAATGATCTCCACCGTTGTATAACATATTTGAAAGCTCCCATTGCACGCTTTTTGTCTACGAGGACCACATATGAGGACTCGAATTTGTTAGTGCTAAAATTTCTCAAACAAGCATTTCATTATCATGATTACATGGTGACCATGTATGTTGAAATAACTTTCTTATGACGCTCGTACATAAAATTACTCAATTAGCTCGAACCATATTTTGCGAGTACCTGCCTTAGTAGCTCACCCAAAAGATCATTACAGGGACTTGGCTTCGGATGGCTGCAGTAGTGCCTCTGAATTGGATTTGGTATAGGCGTCGAGGAAATTGCATAGCGGCTCAAAAGTTAAATGGAAAAGTTCTCCTACGATTGACACTGTACGATGATGAATGGTTAGATGCTGTAAACTGTATGGTACTTACTTCAACTGGATACCAAAGCTGCGAGATTTCACAGATGGCGAGTGGTATCTATCTTTTTAGCCCCCTTGACTGACATACCAAGGACCACTAGCATTGATGCGGTGCTACATCAACGCTATATCAGATTTTACCAAATACCGGGGAAAAGTCAACTAACCTTAGATCAATCACAAGGTAATGACACCCAAGGCATGGCATTTTCAAGATTTCGAGATTCTCGAGTATGTTGCATCTAGATTCAAGACTAGATAGTGAAAATTCGCCCACCAAATCTTAATTATCGAGGGTTGTCCTAATATGTGTCAGCCTCTCTTATCTTATGTCCAAGGTGGGGGTCTCCTCTCCGTTTGATATATCGATTTTTCAGCAGCTCTCAATCGCTCGAAGTAATTCTTTATCAATTCCCAAAGGGCGGAATTGGATTTCGCATATGATTTATGCCAGATGCTAAACCGAATCCAGGCCCTTATCTCAGGGTTTAGTAGAGAAGAACCCGTCACTCAGCACGCTAGAAGATCTCACAAAAACTTGATATCTGTAAAGTAGATTGGAAAATCAGCTAGTCTCGCTAGTCTGGAGATCAGACTTATTTTCCTAGTGTAAAGTTAAAAGTTTCCACTTTTACCTACAGGACATTTTGGGACAGCTTTCCCGATATCAAGATCAGGAATTACCATACTGGGTAGATGGGTAAAGTATATTTGAAGATAGAACCACTACTTGCAAATGATCTTCAATTGTATTTGTGTTTCTGTAAGTTGGTTATCGTAAACCCGTTGTCAAGTGATAGGCAAGCCGATAAGAAGTCGAAAGTCCAGGTGTTCATTCAGAGTACTCTTCCGTATAAAGTCGGCACATATCGTAGAGAGGAGAGGTATTGTTCAATTGAAATCTTGGCTTGGCTGGCTGGAACGACAAAAGAATATCAGCCATAGTGATTTACATCGCACATCATAACGAATTCTGATTGGTATCATCAATTGTACTCAACAAATCGTGATTGTATAACTCCGAGTACGAAGGAATGAGGAGACGAGACCCTTGAAGTCAAAAAAGTTAAAAATTCCAGCTGGATGTGTTTTGGAAGGTCTGTCTATTATTTGCATGGTATATACTACTCCATCATGAAACGAACACGACATATTTCACCACGGTGCCTCAGGGTGCATGGACAATTTAATTTCGGAGATTTGTAGCTGGTTGGGCCCAAGCTCTTTTCGGGTAGATAATATTTGGGAACTCCATCCGAGGCCTCTGTTGAAATAAAGGAGAAATAAAATAGATTTTTGAGGAGGGCAGGAGGAGGCTGAAAGATCCTGTTACAATCGTTACAATTGTTTCTTTCTCGAAGACTTGTCTCGGCGCCCAAATGTCGAAGACCAAGGATGCATGGAATCGGGAGAAAATCTAGAAGCTTGAGGTGACATGACCCTTATTAATTCAAAGGAGAATGGAGTGAGTTCTAACTGTACCGCACTGCTCAGACTCTCTTTTATCGTATTGATGCACGCCCCTCACTACCTAGTCTTTATTTTCTCGTGTCTCGGTAAGCATCCGTGGAGATCAGCTCTGTCGGCTAATGTCAATGTTAAGAAGTGTTCCACAGTGTTGGATCGTTTCTTCACCTATGGAGTATGGTCAAGAACAACTCGCAAAATTAGTGTTGGATAAACATCCAGATGAGGTAATGTGGATATCAGGCAACGCCTTGAAAGCGGCCCTTCTTCTCCTTTTCGCTGTTTTTTCCAGAGTTCAAAGAGCCCATTGTCTCCAAAACGCTCGATAAATCCTGCCGTCTCCGTCCGCCACCAAGCAATTGATTTATTTTGGCTCTATGTTCACACAGTATCGGTGAGTTATCATCTAATGTCAATCAATAAAATGTATCTGCGAGAAAAATCTGCATGGCATAATCTCCGTAAGCTTGATTCAAGAAAACCACAAATTCTGGCGTGTCGAGACCAGGTGTTGTTTTAGTGTCTAGAGTCGTTTAGTACACATGCCATCTAATCTTTGTCTTACGAAACATCCCTTGTAATTGTGCATAGCTCGGGACCGATTCTTTGATGCTGTAAATTTGAAGCTCTATTTTGGGACCATAGGAATATGTTTCAACCTTTCGCTGAACTGCGTGAATCGACATATTCAAGGAGTTAAGATAATTATACCTTGACGCATGAAGAGCCTGATTTTCAAAGGATGTTTGTAGACGGTGTCTAAAGAGGCAAACTGCGGCGAAAATATGCCCCCTAACGATTAGTATTTGGGTGGTTTCTGCATATAAGGTCGATTCTTATTATCCTTGAGGAGAGCGTGGTGGAATATTCTCAAAGGGTCCGCTAAAGCTGATTGTCTCAACAACAATCAAGTCCTCACAACTGTTAATATGCAACTCCGCCGGCTCTTCTTGATCTTAAGATAGCTTTTTCCAAAGGGCTGGAAATTAGTCAGATCGTTCGACACCGTGAACAATGGCTTGGAGAGCAAGGTAGACCAACAAATTTTTTGGCTCTGATGCACATATTGACAAGTTCCTCCAAGCTCCAGGACCATATGATCGTGCGTCTGCTTTTGCCTATAAGGCTGACCTATTAAATCTAGCTTGTCTGTCGCTAATCTGAAAGCCCGAAGGTTCAGAAATTGTAGGCAATTTGACAGTCTCGGATCCATGCCACACTAGCGCTGGATCACTATGGGATATTCATAAGGTTGTTGCTTCATTTTCTTACTTGAAGCCATTGTTTGTCCCAGAGCCAAATTAGACCATACATAATGCTTCTGCCTACATCTTCCATGCCAACAGTCTGCAGTCTGCATCGCTTGTAGTTGACCAAGACTATTCTGTCAGGTGGAAGCTGTCACTTGCGCTCTCGCAAGGAAAAATAGTGAAATTGACAAATGAAGTTCCGAGACCTAAAATTTGGAAACGTCCTTTGGAGGATGAAGATAGTGATTCCGCAGGGCTCAATGATCGATCCCGGATAACTCATATCTGTAAGACATCCAGAAGCCAGTGCATCTATATTGAGGTTATACCCGTCAGTTATTTCTTTCTCCACGGGTAAAGGATTTCGATTGAAAGCATGATAGTATGACACCTGGGCATCAATTTGTGAGTCATCGTATGGATAGCAACAGGTTGGAGGCGATATTTGATTTCCTAGCAACCTTGGCAAGACCTTAGATATAGTGTGGTTAAAAGTTAAGATGAATCTGTGTGCTTGAGGTAATAATTGTTGAGACATTTCAGTTGCCTGGGTTAATCTGGCAAGGCTCTTCTTTGTGTCTGATGTATAGCAAAGATGTTGATTCTCGGAAAGTGCGATAACTCAAATTCCTTAGATCTCGGGTTTACCGTGGTCATCAGAGACCAAAGCCGGCTTGAGCACCATCTTTTGGCTTACACGTCGGCAGTCAAATTATAAGCCGTGAAGAAGTAGCGTGACTGAGATGGTTATATCAGGAACCCCCCCCCCTTGCCCCCCGGTTGTCGATTTAAACACATGATTGTAATTGTAACCATGATAATTCGAGCCACATATCCTAACAAGCTGAAATTGCGTCTTGTAATTTCCGGTGGTGTACTTGTACCACTTTGTTCACATGGCGATGACAACATGGAGTGCAACATCGGCTCGGTGACAAGGTTTCTACCTCAATATGACACCCGAGTTATTCGGTATGTATTGTAACTCGATGTGCCATCCCATCTTGATCCCATGTAGAGTGCGAGGTGAGGCTAAGTGGAAGATCGCAGACCTAATAATGCTCTTGAATTTCGAACAGGACCAGTATGTCAATAGTTCGTAGCACCAAGAAACTCATCTTTCTTTGAATATTAATGACGCTTGGAGCAAGGAATCTAGGTCACCTTCGAGAGGCAGTGAGTATATCAATCTGCAAGTTGTGCAGTGCAGTCAATATATGTGGAATGGGACGAATATGGTTCAAAACTTCTCACCACGAAGAATTAGCGACATATCCAATATTTGAGGAGTAGTGATGTTGAATGTACTCATTGACTTTGTTCATCCTCTGCTTTGTTGAGGTTGAGACGTTGTGTTGCATTGGAATACCTGGGTACACGACAAGAATAGCGGAAGCCGAACCGGACGCCGCTATCACGACGTAGCCCCCACGAAGAATGAACCCTTAACCCTTAGAATCTAGGGCTATCCAATGGGATAATAGCTGGTCGACGATGATGGTGGATGGGTGACCGCCACAGGATCCACTATTTTCATTAACAGTATGGGATGGTTGGCTCAATCGATAGGAGTACCGTCACTAATGCATCTGAGATGATAAATATCATGTTGTGTTCATACTGCATCTGTCTGGGCGGCTTGGAGGCGGTGAAGAACAAACAATTGAAAGAGGATGACATCAAAGACAAATCAAAAAAAGATCCAAAAAGATCAGAAGAACATTGGAAGTTGGTGTAAATGAATCAAATTTCAACATGACTCAACACATTTTGAGGATCTTCAAATTAAAAGATCGAAGCATCAAAACCCTCTCATAGGTTGAGCAAGAATTGACGATTGAAGAAGATTGGTTGGGGTGAAGAGAAAGTGCAGGCAAGATTGAAGGATTGCAGGATGTTTAGATGTTTGGTAGACATTGGACATTGGACATTGGACAGAAGATATTGAATGTTGTGGTTATCTTTCATTGGGATCGTGCGGCGGCACCGATAACGCTCCCTGGGTACTAGGTATCTACTAGGAATCTACTAATAACTACCTAGCTATCATATCATACCCACGATACTTGTACAGTAGTCAGCTACTTACAGCCAGCAAGTCAGCCAGCCAGCAAGTCAGCTATCATCATCATCATCATCATCAAACATTTCTGCTGACGTTTTGAAAACGTTTCCGATCTTTCCACCAGCAGAACATCCAAACACACCACGGATCTCATATTCATACCCTTATCCTCTTTTTTTGTGGAGATTCTAACGGTATACGAGTAATACTATTCAATTTCTATCTCCTTAAAACCTACTAGATTCATATTCCGCATTCAATTCTACAATTCTTCAATTCTTCTTCATCTCATCCATCTACGATCACGGTCGACGAGTCGTATATCTTTTCCAGAAACTACAAACATCATCCCCCCCACCTCTCACCCCACTGTCTGTACCCAGAATTTATAACTTGTTAAGACGTCACCGTTTCGAAAATTGTCCAGAGATATTACAGAATTGCAAAGTTACAAACGCCCACCAAAGAACTTTCCGACTATAGAATGACCTCGCCATTGCGAAAGCACCGTACTTCTAGTGTTTCCAGTGAAATCGATCCATTCGCTGCGGCACATGTTTACTACAGCAATGATACAAACCAGAAATCGTTTCGACAATTCCGAACCCGTACATACTCTTCAGTAAGCACAGCACTTCTCTCCTTAACCTTTCAAACACTCATCTAACCTCCTCGCAGAACCAGAGCACCTTCTCTACACCCATCTCAGGATTAGAAAAGCCCAAGAGGAGAGGCAGCCATGGTCAGTTGCCCATATTCTGATTCACAAAGTCTCATTGACTAATATACATATGTGCAGATGATATTGGAGATCATGGACGCAAATTCTTGATACAAGTTGACTCGACACTGGAAGCCCTTCGACAACAGGAAGACACAGATGATAATCACCAAATTACAATTGAAGATGTAGGGCCAAAGGTATGATGTTGCAGGCATTCTATTCACTCAGATTCTTAATTAACGAATTTTGGGGCAGACACTTCCTCTTGGAACCGCTACGTCGAACGGATTTAAAAGATATGATATTCGTGGGACTTACATGCTATCAAACCTTTTACAGGAATTGACTTTGGCGAAAGAAAATGGCAGAGAGCAAATTATCTTGGACGAATCTCGCCTCAATGAGAATCCTGTCAACCGCCTCTCAAGATTGATACAAGGCTCATTCTGGGATGGCCTGACTCGTAGAATCGATGGCTCGGTGATTGAAATTGCTGGGCGTGATCCCAAGGATTGGACCGATGATCCTCGTCCGCGTATCTACATACCACGGGGTGCACCTGAGCAGCATGCATACTATACCAAAGTGGCAACTGATAGACCCGAAGTGCGTCTAGATGTTTGTTGGCTACCTGAGAAAATTACACCAGAAGTTGTTCGTGACATGAACTCTAAGCCTGGTCTTTTAGCTGTTGCCATGGAGGAAGTTATTGATCCGTCAACAGGCGAGAAAACTCTCAAGGGCTTACCATTCGTAGTACCAGGTGGTAGATTCAACGAACTTTATGGATGGGATAGTTATATGGAATCACTCGGTTTAATTGTCAACGACAAGGTACACTTAGCCAAGTCGATGGTACAAAACTTTTGCTTTTGCATTGAACACTACGGAAAGATCCTGAATGCCACTAGGTCATACTATTTATGTCGTTCTCAACCACCTTTCTTGACAGATATGGCCCTTCGAGTTTTTGACAAGATCAAGCATGAGCCAGGATCATTGGACTTTCTAAAGACGTCTATTCTTGCCGCCATCAAGGAATATCACAGCGTGTGGACGGCAGAACCAAGATATGACCCTGTCACAGGTCTATCGAGATATCGCCCTGAAGGTCTTGGTGTACCTCCAGAGACTGAAGCATCGCATTTCGAACATTTGTTGGCACCTTATGCTAAGAAGTACAACATGACCTTCAAAGAATTTGTTGATGCTTACAATAATGGAAAAGTTGTGGAAAAAGAATTGGACGATTACTTCCTACATGATCGAGCAGTTCGTGAGTCAGGTCATGACACATCCTACCGTTTAGAAAGGGTTTGTGCAGATCTTGCAACAATCGATCTTAATTCTCTTCTTTATAAATATGAAAAGGATATCGCATATACCATTCGAACATTTTTCAAAGATAAGCTTGAGGTTCCAGCCGAGTTTTGCGTGGGCGATATGACGCCTGGTCAGCTGCAAACTTCTTCAATGTGGGATCGAAGAGCCAGAGGTCGCAAGTTAGCCATTGATAAATACCTCTGGAATAAAGAGAAGGGCATGTACTTTGATTATAACACCCTGAAGCAAGAGCAGTGCACATATGAAAGTGCTACTACCTTCTGGGCGATGTGGGCAGGTGTTGCTTCGCCACAGCAAGCTGCCAGTCTCGTCACTAACGCACTTCCTAAGTTTGAAGCTGCTGGAGGTTTACTGTCTGGAACTGAAGAGTCTCGTGGTGCCGTTGGATTAGACCGACCAAATCGTCAATGGGATTACCCATATGGTTGGGCTCCACAGCAAATGCTAGCTTGGACAGGACTACTACGATACAATTATCAGGAAGAAGCCGAAAGACTTGCTTATAAATGGTTGTTCATGATCACAACAGCGTTTGTTGATTTCAATGGTGTGGTGGTTGAAAAATACGATGTGACCAGAGTGATTGATCCTCATAAGGTTGATGCAGAATATGGCAACCAAGGGTCGGATTTCAAGGGAGTTGCTAAAGAAGGGTGAGTGATACCAATGTGTTTGATCAACGGCAAAGTTCTAATGATTTCTAGTTTTGGATGGGTTAATGCCAGTTATGTTTACGGACTTCAAATCATCAATGCACATATGCGACGAACCCTAGGAACACTTACTCCTTGGGAGCAGTACACTAAGGCCATGAACCTTTGAGTATTCGAAGACAGGCTGTTTAATGCGTTAACGACATTTGCGTTTTTGCTCTATACCCTTTGAGTCCCTCGATAGCATTTAGAAATATTCTCGAGTTCTCGAATTGATGATTGAAAAGAATGGGATGGTGAGGATATGCAGTGAGCATTTGCATTGGGGCGATCGAGACTTTAAAGAAGACATGTATATGTTAGAAGCAAAATAGCAGACCTGTGCTACCTCGTAAGAAATTAATATACCGGCAAAATTGCTGATAGCATTATATATCCATTGATCGTTCATTGATGACCTGATTTCTCTCGGCTTTTCAACGCATCACTTCCTAATATTGACACAATACTCGTAAGGTTACATGGACGAAGGATATATGACTGAAAACATAAATACCTCACCGAATGCCTAGCCTTTAATTCCTAAACCGCATCCTATAGTCGGATTAGAAAAAGCATGATCGGAAATAATCATTTTCTCGGAACACTACCAAGGCGATAACCGGATCATCCTTTACAAATGAAGGGGTAACTAAGCCGAGGCATCTATTGGACCTATAAAGAATTGATCCCCTCCTCCGCATTGGACGACCTACCCCTCGGCAGAACTATTAACCCTTGTGAGATCTGGGGTTATCGTATCTATTTTGGAATGTTTGAGGGTCTTCACATGTTTACGATAACGTCGAGTTTCGCGTGTGTGGAAACACATGTTAAGTGATAGCTGAGATGTAACTCTCCAAGAGCATGTCTTACATGATTCTTACGCCTGGGCACTGGGCAGTCTGACCGTATGAGGGATGTTTTGATGGTGAGATTGGAGATTGGAGATTGGAGATTTGGATGAATGAAAATTAATGGTAAATGGTAAAGTAGATGGGTGATGCTATAGTAGGTAAAGAAGCACACGACTCAGAATTGACATCCAAAGACCAGCAAGTATATTCACAATTGTCCATCTCAAATCTCAACTACCATCCATCCATCCATGATTCCGCATTCGTCATAACAAAAAGGCAACCGCAAGATGTTACACTAAAACGCATCAGATCTAGAAAGCCAAGCTCACTAAAATGGTATCTCTGTTTCCCCCAGTTTTCGGGAATGTATCCAATCACGGCATTCCTGAAGCTCTCCCTTTGATCCGAACAGCCAACCATATGCTTTGTATGTTGATGGCAAAGGATTCCTTGATGGTCCGAGGATACAAACGATTGTGAATGAGTCTTGTCATGAGCTTGCGATGTGGGAAGTTAGTTCGGACCTTGGGCCGGGTAGGTTCCTAGGAGGAGGGGAATATATAGCTATATACCTTGGAACTGTCTGCTTCTGTGTTTTCCTTCGATACTGTGTTTGACATTGTTTACTTTATAAATCTTGGAATTTGAAAGATTGATTACTAGTCCAATACTCTACATTCCTAAAGATACATAGGATTCTTTACTTCTTACATTCTAACTGAACATCAAGTCTTCGGAGCTTGAAAGAAGTTACTCACGAACGAGACTTATTTCCTGTTTTATACACCTTATATCCATATATACACATACAACATGGCTTCTACCAATAGAATGGCCGGTACTTCTGTAGATCCAGAACAAGAAGAGAGAATCTTCTTAGAAGAAGTTGCTGCTGTCAAGCAATGGTGGGCAGATGAGAGATGGAGATATACCAAGAGAGCTTTTACTGCTGAGCAGATTGTGGCAAAGAGGGGAAATTTAAAGATTGAATACCCAAGTAATGCACAATCGAAAAAGCTTTGGAAGATCTTGGAGGGAAGATTCAAGGTATGCATTCCTGATGTATCTCGATGACGATGGCAGATAGATACTAATATCACGAAAAACAGAACAAAGATGCTTCTTATACATATGGTTGCTTGGAACCTACCATGTTGACTCAAATGGCAAAGTTTCTGGATACAGTCTATGTTTCTGGATGGCAATCATCATCCACTGCATCTGCTTCCGATGAACCTGGTCCAGATCTCGCAGATTATCCATATGTAAGTCCACCCACCTCCTTCCTGTCTCGCCTTCAATTCACTAACATATTCTAGACTACAGTACCCAACAAAGTATCACATCTCTTCATGGCCCAACTCTTCCATGACCGTAAACAACGTGAAGAACGAGTAATGACTGCCTCGAAAGCCGATCGAGCCAAGCTCCAAAACGTCGATTATCTTCGTCCCATCATCGCAGATGCTGATACTGGTCATGGTGGCCTCACTGCCGTTATGAAATTAACAAAATTGTTCATAGAGAAGGGAGCTGCGGGTATTCACATTGAGGATCAAGCTCCTGGTACCAAGAAATGTGGACATATGGCTGGAAAGGTCCTCGTTCCTATCAGTGAACATATCAATCGTTTGGTTGCTATTCGTGCTCAGGCTGATATTATGGGTATGTCAAAATCTATACTTTTTCTGAGAAGATGAAGAATACAAACTAACATACCACGCAGGCTCTGATCTCCTCGCTATTGCCCGTACAGACGCCGAAGCTGCTACTTTAATTACCACAACCATCGATCCCCGAGATCACGCTTACATTCTCGGCTCCACAAACCCCAATCTCCAACCCCTTAACGATCTAATGATAGCTGGTGAGCGTGCCGGAAAAACTGGTGCAGAACTCCAAGCCATCGAAGATACATGGACTGCTCAAGCCGATCTCAAACTCTTCAATGACGCCGTCATCGCCACCATAAAAGCCAACCCCAACACCAAATCCGACGAACTCGTTTCCCACTTCCTCACCGAAGTCAAGGGCAAAAGCAACTCTGAAGCTAGAGCCCTTGCCAAAACCATCACCGGCGTCGACATCCACTGGGATTGGGACGCTCCTCGTACACGAGAAGGCTACTATCGACTCCAAGGCGGATGCGGGTGTGCCATAAATCGCGCTATCGCGTATGCCCCCTACGCCGACGCCATCTGGATGGAATCCAAACTCCCAGACTACAAACAAGCCGAGGAATTCGCGTCGGGCGTGCACGCCGTGTATCCCGACCAGAAACTCGCATACAATCTCTCTCCGTCCTTTAATTGGAAATCGGCCATGCCCAGAGCAGAACAGGAAACATACATTCAGCGACTTTCCAAACTAGGATATTGTTGGCAATTCATCACACTAGCCGGTTTACACACCACGGCGTTGATTAGTCATCGCTTTGCTGAGGCGTATAGCAAACAGGGCATGCGCGCCTATGGGGAGTTGGTGCAAGAACCGGAAATGGATCTGGGTGTGGATGTGGTGAAGCATCAGAAATGGTCCGGGGCGAATTATGCAGATGAGTTGTTGAAGATGGTGACTGGCGGAGTGAGTAGTACGAGTGCGATGGGGAAGGGAGTTACGGAGGATCAGTTTCATTAGGGGATGAGGAGAGGAGAGGTGTGGACTGAAGTGGAGAAAAGAGGAGTGAAGCGAAGTGGAGTAGGCTTTCTCTTTTTTTTATGGAATAGGATAGGATAGGATTGAATAGTCATTTATATAGGTTTCATAGGATAGGATAGGATACGATGGATCATTCGTTGTAGGAAAATAATACAGATTTGATAACCTACCTAGGTATATTTGATACATTTGATACATTTGATAAATTTGATCCCCCCCTTTTTTTCAAATATTTCTCACCGTGAAAGTAAGATTACAATAACAGAATATACTATACTATACTTATATATCTATTAATCTACAAGTATTCATATATATAGATAGCCCTTACTAACAACATCTCAAAACTCAATCCATTCTCATCTCCTCTCCTTATATCTCATACTCATCGATATATACTAGAATAATTTACAATTTAGTAATCTCCTTATCTCTCTTTCTCTACCGGTATATCTTCTATGATAATTAGAGTTGTAATTTTGATATAATATAATAGTCATATGATAACATCCTAACATATACTCGTAAAGTAAAAAAAACAAAAGATATAAGGGCATTATAGAATTAATCTAATAGAGTATTTCGATATATTATCGAACTTTTCGAAATAGATATATAATATTAAAGTTATAAAGTCAGTAGGTATTTATTTATTATAATATTATATTAATATAATATTCTCTTCCTTTGATTAGTCGAGATAATTATTATAACTTTTTGCTTCTTTTTTTGAGGGGGAGGGAATAACTATTTATATCTTATATGAGAAGGAAAGTCATTGTGACATGATACTATGAAGATATACGTTAATAGGACGGTTATATCACAACGCTACTTCCATATATATACGTACCTAAGCTCATTGAATCTCATTACGATTTTCTACTTCGTACACATGGCAATCAACTATCATTCACAACGGGACGACAGACAAATTTAGCAAAGAAAAGATATTAACATCTGATTCACTATGTGCTCTCTACCTAACCCTAGCTACCCTATTCTTATTACGTAGCAACACTGCAATCAATTAATTATCATCCCATCCCATCCCATTCATTCCTTTCCACCACTCAAAAACATCTTCTTGAAATCCGCATTACTTTTTGGTTTTGCATTAGTATCCGAACCTGTATCTGGTGCCGGCACTGGCGCTGGCTTTTTCCCGCCCGAGAATCCCAATCCTCTTTTTTGTCCCAATCCACCCCTTCCCCCACCTGGTCTTCTGATCGGTACACTGGGTTGCATGAAATTACTCGTGCTTGTCCCTGCTCCTGTCCCTGTACTCGCACCCGCTTTCTCCTTTTCCTTCTTACCATTTTGTCCAACCACAATGCGATCACTTTTAACCTCACTCGACTGTGCGAAAAGATCTTTCATTCCTCCTGTTCTCAATCTGCGACCTGGTGCTATCTCGTGATTTTCAAGACCGAGAGATGCTTTACCTGCGGAATTAACATCCTCGAACTCGACGATTGCACCTTGATGGTCTGGACGAAGTACAACTTTGATGATATTTCCAAATGGCTCTGCAATTGCACGGATTCTTGCATCATTCACCGTATCAGGAACATTGAGCAAGGTAATCGTTCGATTGCCACCTTCTGATGGTTGATGTAAAGCATGTTGATTCTTGTGAGAATTGTCAATAGTAGAAGCAGGAGACATCATAGTATCTCCATCAGCGTCTGGAGCTGGAGATGCTGAAGCCCCCTTTTCTCTACTAGTTGCGATAGGTTTGTAGTTTCTTGCTTGCGTCAATTCGACATGAAGAATGGAGGATTTCAACTTGGTTTTATCTAATTCAAGTGCGGCAGTAGCTTCGTCCTTTTTCTCAAAAACGATGAATCCTGCACCCTTGCTCTCCCCCTTGAATGTTCTCAAGATTCTGACAGATTCAACCTTGCCATACTTTCCAAACACCTCCTTCAAATCATCCTCTTTCAAGCTCGAATCGAGACTAGTTATGTGTAGCTCTCGACCTTCTGCGGTGGCACCCTCTCGTTGCTTTTTTGCAGCCGGGTCGGAATATTTTGCTACGAGTTTGAATTTGTTTTCTAACAACTTTCCATCGAGCTGAGTGGCTGCCGAAGCAGCTTCAGCTTTACGAAAGGTAATGTAGCAAAATCGACGATGTGTGTTGAATTTGAGACTTGGCCATCGGATACTGAATATTTCACCACAATCCTTGAAAAGAGTATGCATATAATTTTCATCAGCAGTAGGTGGATAATTAGTGACATAAAGAGTCAAACCAGTACCAGACTCTACTTTGATTTGATTCTCACCAAAGAATTTTCCATCACGGAGGAAAGCCGATTGGACGTCGTCATTAGAACGGAATTCGATCAAACAGGTAGAGGAAAGCTTGTCCGCTTCGGTCTTGAGCGTCAAGCTATTGATGTGACCATATTCTTTGAAGTACTGTCTCACTTTGGTTTGGGTAACCTCGTGAGGTAGATTGGTGACTATTACGGTAGTATTCTCGCGATCCCTTGTCAAATGCTGTTGTCGTAAAGCCTCTGCATCAGCTGTCGATTGCTCATTTCTTATCTTCTTGTGGGTATTACCATCAGTGGTATCTTCTGAGGTTGGCTCACGCTTCCTCTTTGAATTTCCAGGAGAATCTTCATCCGTCGCTTCTGGGCTAACGATTTGTTGCTGTTGCTGAGCATATAATTCTGCTTGCTCAATGGCTAACTTTTCCCTGCGCTTGGTGACTAGTTGAAATTGCCTGCGGACTAGATCTTTTGCTCCTAATAAAGTATGTGCATCTTCGTAATTATTGCAATGTGAAATGTAAAGTTCCATGATCGCTTCCGGCCAGTCTAGATCTTTCGTACGTAAAGCTCGAGACAAGACCATAGAGGGTAAGTTGGATGATTTATTAAGATATCGGACTGTCATTTCCCATGAGTAATACTGTTGCCAAAAAACATAACTTTTCTGATGAGTATTCACGAGTCTTTTCCAAAACTCACGAGCTTCCTCAATTGATCCTTTCTGAGTGAGGTACTGAATCATTATCCTTTCGATTTTGAACGAAGGATCCGTGTATTCTCTTTTGTGGAGCCTTCGACCCCAGTCTTGAACGGCCTCGAGTGAACCAGGCAGACCGGCGTCTGCCACATCAAAAGCTTCGTCTTCTAAAGGTTTATCGATTGTATTACGCCTGAGATAGCCACACCAAGCCGTGTAGACCTCAATCACTTCGTCCATTGTCCCGTCACGATCCAATACGCCAGTACTCGTCGCAGCATGCTTTATATCTTCAATCGAAGAAAAATCCAAATTTTGCGTTTCAGCAAGAAGGATGTAGCGCGCCCATAAGCTTCCCGACCAAGGGCAATGTGCGGTAGCTCGCTGAACAATGTAAAGGGGACTGCCTAACTGCGCATCTGGATTTACAACGTAGCTCTGTTGAACGAAAGCAATGTAGTCTTCCCAAGTTCCGGGATCCCGGCCCAAAATTGTGGAAGCTAATGCGCGCTCGTAGAGGGCAATTGCAAGAATTTGCGGGCTCTGTGGTAAACCTTTTTTGGGCTTTGTCACTGTTTGAAAAGTCTCCCATTCCAGATATTCCTTCATTACAGATGCTATGTGTTCTTTATCACCAGCCGTAACAGCTTGCTGAAGCTTGAGCTCGTGCTGTTCACGTTGCTCATACAAATATCTTGCAGTGCTACCCATCTGTGTAACTTGCACCATCGTCGATTCATAAGAGGGCTCGTCATATTTCGTGAGAAACGTCGAGAACATTTGAGAAGTCTCGTCCCATTTAGCATGTGGTATTTGTAGGCGATCGAAGAATATTTTGCGGACGCGCTCTACTTGTTCACGAGTAGGAGACTTCGCAAGCAATTCCAGTTCAATAGTTATCCACCTATTCCATAGCTCATGGCTGTCGTTCAAACGAAATTGCGTAGCTGCGGTGCCTTCCTGCCAAAGATCCTGCGCTGTTTGTAACGAGAATAGTTCCTGTCCGACGAGTCGCTCATCTTCTGGCCATCCTGCATCTGGATCCCGACAATCTGTGTATAATGACAAGACCCAGTCGCATCTTGCTAACCAAAGCAGGTTGCTCCAAGGTTCTGCGCTTATTGCGCGATCGTATAATTCGACAACTTTGATGCGCTGCTCCAGATCTCTCGCGTTTCTGCTAGCCTCGTCTACGAGTGCTAACCACTCCTCTTCACCAACAGGTGATTGTTCCATTGTAAACAAAGTTTTCTCCAACTACTTCACTTTGGAAATCTCGTATCAATATCGGGAGGAAGCCCAAGAAGCATTTCGAGAATCTTCTTGAGATTTTGTTGTTGGAAGGTGATCAATAAATAGGTGTTGTGTATTGACAACAAAAGTAGGCATTGATGCTGTGAAGTACGATCCATCTCGAACATTTCAATCCCACCGGACCTTTGCCGCCGCTTAATAATTTCGGAATACGACAGCGGGACATGAGATCGCCATTTACATTCAACGTTCCGAATAAATAATAGAAAATTCATGTAGTTAAATTGATCAAACCTCCAATCATTTGGAAGGTCTACCTGTAAATTAATTGAAACTTGGAAAGTTTCTGACTGAGATAGCTCTTATAAGCATGAACCAAAAAAATCTTGAATCCTGATTGTAGCGTGATTCTTAAAGCAGCCACATAAATTTGGCAAACTAAGAACTTCAATTATTTTGATATGACGCCCAAGCCATTGACAAGCAACACCACCCAGTCCGCACTATGAGTTTGAATCTTCCTTCGCGGCGCCTGCTAAGGTCTGGTAAGTATAGGGCTATGTCTATATATGATCAATGCTGATCAGCTCACAGCTGCACCTCTTACAACATCTCATCCACCCATCGCCTTCCTTATCCCATTATACACCAATCAACGAAGATCACTATGGGACAATTTCTCAAAGCGTCTCGACAGTGCAAGGAGGATGTTCTCGCCGGATAAAGCCCCTAAGAATCCTTTGACA